CTGGGCTTGCTCTGACCCGGGAGTTTCCAGCCCTGACTTATCCTCAGGCTCATCAGAAGAGCTTATGAAAATATAACTCCTGTGTTTTCCCGGTGGTCGCCCCTGAGGTGCTGGTTCAGTGGACCTTGGAGGGGCCTGCAAGCTGTTTTCGTTGTTTCATTCATTTTTGCGTTATTTTTGTTTACCAACTGCCCACGTTGCTTTAGCTATTTGATAGGGAGCCAAAGTTGGATAGAGCATATCTTCCCTCTCCTTTCTCTGCGTAAAATCGCCATCTGGAAATGAAGGCGCCGGGAACCGCCAGGAGCCAGGGACCTGATGCTCTAGAATGCTGAAGTCTACTGAGGCTCCCCAGCCCTCTGAGCACTAGCTCGCGCTCAGGATTCCCGACTACAAACGCGCCCCACTCCATCCCTGCTGGCTAATGAAAGTGTTGGCCTCTCCTGACACAGAGGCCGCGAAACAGGTCAGCGGCCTTCACTAGCTAATCGGCTCCAGACTTAGACACTCCTCGTGGGAAGGAGGATCATGAGCATGCGCAGAAGCCAGCGGCCCCCAGCGCGCCTCCAGCGGCTGATAGGCCTCAGCGAAACTGAAAAGTTGGGCTTCCTTCGGCCACACTCCGCCTCCAGCCCCGCCTCTCGGCCCGCCTTTTCCTCCTGGAGCCGCGTTGATGGGCTAGCAGCGGGCTATAAAAGTTCGACTGCGTCCGGCGCGGTGATTGATGCTTGTAATCCCAGCGCTTTGAGAGGCTGGGCAGGCGGATCACCTGAGGTTGGGGGTTCGAGACCACCCTGACCAACATGGAGAACCCCCGTCTCTACTAAAAAAACAAAAGTAGCTGGGCATGGTAGCGCATGCCTGTAATCCCAGCTACTCAGGAGGCTGAGGCAGGAGAATCGCTTGAACCCCGGAGGTGGAGATTGCGGTGAACCAAGATCTGGCCATTGCACTCCAGCCTGGGCAACAAGAACGAAACTCCATCTGGAAAAAAAATAAGTAAAAAAAGTGCTACTCAACCAGATCAGCAATTACCTGACTCACACAGTTCCCTAAGAATTTCACTGTATATGCTCATTGAAATTACGGGGCAGAAAGGATTTGAGTGCTTTGTTTGAATCTATGGAAATACAGTAAACATTTTGCTGCATTACTTTGAATTCTTTCATTTTACTTTATCTTTTGAGACAGCGTTTTGCTTTGTTGCCCAGGCTGGAGTGCAGGTGATATCAGCTCTCTGCAGCCTCGACCTCCTGGATTCAGGCGATCTTCCCTCAGCGAGAAACTCATCCTTCAGCCTCCCAAGTAGCTCTAACTATAGGTGTGTACCACACTTTTTTTTTTTTGGTAGAGATACGGGTCTCAATTTGTTGGCCAGGCTAATCTGGAACTCCTGGGCTCAAGTGATCTGCCTGCCTCAGTCTCCCAAAGTACTGGGATTACAGGTTTGAGCCACTGCACCTGATAGTAATTCTTTCATTTTAGTGTTTATGTCTTTCCAAAGGTGGTTTTAAAATTTCACATGTGGTTCTCTTTATCATTTTCAGTTGAGAAGGAAAAAATAAAACAACTGGCTGGTTTGGGCTTTGGATATTTCTACCTCTCATTGTGCAACACATTCAGTGACAATACAGGTTTTTAGATGGTTTGTCCATGAGCACGTCTGTTCCTACAGTTCTCCAGAACATGAGAGCCCTTCGTGCCTAATCTTGGCTTCCTGCTGATACAAGGTTTTTTAAGGTGTGAGTTGGCCAGTGATGGACCTGGGTATGCTTCCAGTAGCCACAGGTGATGTGAACACAATTCTGAGCAGTGAAAATATAAGCAAAATAACACGTATGCTTGGTGAACAATCAGAATGAACTATGAGAAGCCAAACCTGCCTGATTGGTAGGAATAGGGGGCAGGGAGGTTTGAGGAGCACAAGGCTTAGACTGCTAGACCTGGAGATTTGGGGAGCCAGGGATGCCAGACGTGTTCCTTGTATGCAGAAGGGAAGTAACAAGTATTCAATGTTCACTTACCTTTCATTCCCGTGTGAAGCGGACATTCCCACTTTGCAAAAAAAAAAAGGGGGGGGTGGAGCTCAGGAGAACTAGAAAGCAGATGGCACTAAGAGGACTTCATTCAGTATCAGATGAATAATATATGTGGGCCTCCTAATTTAATTTTCAAATTGTTCTTTAGAAAGATTTTTAGCTATCTTTTTTTTAAAAAGCCAGGCCATCCCAGGCACGGTGGCTCTTGCCTATAGCCCCGGCCATTCAGGAGGCTGAGGCGGGAGAATGGTTTAGCCCAGCGAAGGCTGCAGTGAGCTATGACCATGCCACTGCACTCCAAGCCTGGGCAGCAGAGACCCTGGCTGGAGCGAATATAATTTCAGCAGTTTCTCTAGCTCCTTAGCAGAGAAGTTTCTGTCAAATGTGTACAGCATCAGAAACCAAGAGGTGGCAGCAGTGTTCTCCACTGAACATGAGGTTGGCTCTTGGTGTTGCTTTGCTGTGGCTGTCATTTGCCATCGATGATGGTTCTCTTCCTCCAGGGGAGAGGGAGAGAATGCAGTCTGAGTGGGGGAAGAAAGCTAGCCATGCACTTGTTGCCACTGGATTCATTTTAGTTATGATTGTATTGTTTAACTGAGTTTGATATTTACAACATCCCTAGCTATGTTCTGCTTTTCTAGATGCTATCCTTTTCCCGTTAGCATTCCCTCCTTTGACACTTGTTCACTGAATGAACACAAAGAATTCCTAGTTACCTCTCCAGAGCCCCACTGTCATTACAGATGAGGAAGCTAATGCAGGTGAGAAAAAGGACTAGGAGCATGTGCCATGCATGGAGTCAGAGTGGGGTTTTCATCGGGTTCACCCACCCACTTACTAGTTTGTAACCTCAGAGCTTCCACTTCCCCATCCCCGACATGGGGTCACACTGTCATGGGACTGCGAGGAATGACATGCCGCACAGATGACCACAGTGCTACTGTTGCGGTTAATGGGTGAAGGCAGAGCAGGCACCTAACATGGATATAGGCTATCAACTTACTTTTGTGACACCATCCTCACTAGTTCACAAATGCCCGTTAGTACAGGCTGAGCATCCCTTAACTGAAATGCTTGAGACCATTTGTGTTTCAGAGTTCTATTCTTTTTCCAGACTTTGGAATATTTGTATATACTTAAGGTTTTTATATACACTTTATGATCTTAATTTTAAACAAGGTCCGGCTGTCACCCAGTCTCAAGTATAACGGTACAAACACAGCTCACTGCAGCCACAAGTCCATGCCACCACACTGCGCTAATTAAAAAAAATTTTTTGAGACAGTCTCACTCTGTCACCCAGGCTGGAGTGCAATGGTGTAATCTCAGCTCACTGCAAGCTTGGCCTCATGGGTTCAAGTGATTCTCCTGCCTCAGCCTCCCAAGTAGCTGGGATTACAGGAGCATGCTACCACAAATGGGGAATTTTTTGCATTTTTAGTAGAGGCAGGGTTTTTCTGTTAGCCAGGATGATCTCAATCTCCTGACCTTATGATCCATCACCTTGGCATCCCAAAGTGCTGGGAACAGGCATGAGCCACTGCATCCAGCTAAAAAATTATAGAGGGTGTGTTAGACAGGCTGGCCTCAAACTCTTGGGCTTAAGTCTTCCATCTGCCTCAGCCTCCCAAAGTGCAGGATCCCAGGCATGAACCATCAGGACTGGCCTATGGTTTTAATATACAGGTTGGGCGTTCCTAACCTAAAAAATTCAAAATGTTCCAATGAGCATTTCCTTTGAGTGTCATGTGTTTTAAATTTTGGGTTAAGGGATGCTTAAGCTGTGTATTAAAAACACAAAACTGGCCAGGTGTGGTGACTCAAACTTGCAAATCCCAGCACTTTGGGAGGTTAAGATTTTTCTACAAACACTTAACCAGGCATGGTGGTGTGCCCATATTCCCAGCTCCTTGGAAGTGGCTGAGGTGAGAAGATCGATTTGAGCTTGGGAGTTTGAAAGCTGCAGTAAGCCATGACTGTACCACTGCAGCCTGGGCCACAGAAAGACCCCATCTCAAAAAAATTAAAACACAGATCTGTAATGACACCTGCATCCTCCTACCCATGGTTAACCACCTTACTCAAGGTTTTTGAACTTATGAAAAGCTCCAAGTGTTGCTTTGAACATTCCCAGGCATGTATCCTAATGCCCACTGTAGTTTCTCTTGAGCAATGCCTCAAAGCAGAACTGCCATTTCCCCCCAACCAAAGTTGCTGGAATAACTTACACAAATTGATCTTTTCACATTAGCCTGAAGACAGTCACTGCTGGAAGTCATGCTTTTCATCACCGAAAGTCTTCATCTATTAAATGCTGATGGAGGTAAGGATAAGACTCATTCATATGCAAGTGCCAGTCACACTTAATGGCTACTCTGAACACACAATACTCATGGTATAGTATATAAATCCAAACCTGAAAAGTTGAGATTTCCATTCCAGCTACTGTGAAACAAAAAAAGCTTAGTTTTTGGAACACGGGTTTGAATCTTACCTACTTTGTGTAACTGGGGACCTTAATCGTTTATTTTCTGCACTCCTTCAGTGTTACTGTTAAACTCCCAAGCATTTGATGAGACATTACGCAGCTAGGTCTGGTTGCCTGACAACCTTGGGATGTAGCAATCAACATTCTGCATAGGTCCGAGTTCTTAGGCAGGACTGTATAGCGTGTAATTACCCAGGAGGCTTTCTAAAGCTGAGGTCCGACCCCAGCGTAGGGGACACACCTTACAATCATCAAGTTTATACAGGTCACCTGGAGAAAGCATCTGCTCGGATCCTTCCTCCTGCCACCACAGAGCAGTTTTCAACACTGTACCACGAGGTACCATCTTGTTAGGTGACAGGGAAAAATCCAGCCTGTGTCATGTCAGAATAGGTTGAAAGCCAGCATTACAAAACCGAGACCATTTTTTGCAGAGCACATTCCCAAACTATGGGCAAGACCAACTGCAGTTAAAATTCAGCTTTTTATTGAACACATTATAAAAGAGGTTTAGTCAAAAAGACCAAAGCCCATGTCATCATCAGATTCCTCGGATTCTTCTTTCTTTGCTTCCACTTTCTTCTCCTCAGCTAGAAAAAAAGTAAATCGGGTTTCAGGACTTCCAATACATCATGTACATGGCCTCAATAGTGGATAAAAAATATTTAGGGAGGAAAAAAATCATGTGTACAAAACTTGCAGACTTCTAAAGCATACAGGAAGATGTGCATAGGTTATATGCAGATACATTTATAGGAAAATTAATGCCTATTTTGCCTATAATACTACATATTTTCATTTTCATTTTATCTTGTATGACTACTGCAGTATAATACATATTTTTATCTCTACACTCTGCCCTCAATACTAAAAACTCCGATTCCTACCTGGAGCAGCAGCAGTGGAGGGGGCAGGACCTCCTGCTGGTGCAGCACCAGCTGCTGGAGCAGGCCCACCAGCCCCTACATTGCAGATGAGGCTCCCAATGTTGACGTTGGCCAGGGCCTGCAATACACGTGCACGCAGAGGTAAATGCCCAGTTCTAACCTTGTTACACAGCACTCACAGCCAAAAAAGAAAAGTATCCCCGCTTCCAGTGACCAACCCTTAACACTATATACAGTGGGTTCCACAACCATGGACTCAACAGTGGACAGAAAATATTTAGGGAGAAAAAAAACCATGTGTACTTCTAAAGTACACAGGAAGATGTGCATAGGTTATATGCAGATACATTTATAGGAAATGGAACATCCTGGAATTTTGCTATTAGTGGAATGTCCTAGAACCAATGCCCCAGACACCGGCTTTTCTTTATTGATAATTACATTCCTATATGTTAAGAACCTCCTGAGGTAGCCAATTTCCCTCCTTTTACAAATAACATGTTGATTAAAAAAATGCAAACTTCCTGAAACTCTCAAATATTCTGTCCACAGTTCCATGTCTCCTCTTAACAGTGTATTCAAATTTTCAGTCTACTAAACAAATTTAGGACGTTTCAAAAGAGGCTCGTTAAAGTTACAACAGGTACAGTGTTTTCAATCTTTCCAAACTCTTAGAGAACACAACCCCGAGGTTAGATGCTATTAGCTTCACTTGCCAGAGATTAAGTAACCTGTACAATGGAAAACAGCCAGTGCAAGCTCCGTGGCCAGAAACCTTGTCTTTATTAGTCTTTTATATCCCAATACAAACGTACTTACTGTCAGTGAAGTCCTCTAAACCCAAATATCCATTAAATAAATGTTATACTGAAAGAACGAGGATTTGCTTGCAAATTAACATGGGTAGTGGCTATCGCCCCGGTGACCACTTTTGGGAAGAAATGACCTGATTAAGATTTTTTAAACCATAGTTTCAGATTAAAAGGGAAACCAGAATCTGAAATAAAGAAAAATAAGACTCGACAAACTTAAATCTTATTAGGTCCTAGAGATATAAATGCAACCAAATACACTTAGGAGATGCAGCGGCACGTGCGGCCTTCTGGCACTGCTGGAGGTAATCTGGCAGGTACACCTGCCCTAGTCAATCAGCAAGCCTTACCAAATCACTTTGCCACCATCACCTTACCTTTGCAAACAAGCCAGGCCAGAAAGGTTCAACATTTACACCGGCTGCTTTAATGAGGGCATTGATCTTATCCTCCTACAACAAATAAAACGTCAATCCATCAAAACGTAGCGTATGTAACACCTCCAAAAAGCTGTAAGTTAAAGGCAAGTCACTCAAAACAAGTGTACAGCACATGTTTAACCAGCTCAGATATTCTATCACGAGCAAGAGATGTGTGCCAGGCGCCCCTCAATGAAGCGAGCCCATCGCTGCTGTTTCACGGGCTGGGAATTGCCTGAGTCACACGGCTATTTTAAGTTCCAAGACCTGGGAGGTAGAGCCGAGGCTCCTGCGTTTTCCAACAAGCCACACCGTCTCGCCCCGCAGGCCTACTAGGACCGGAGGAATGCAAGGCAATTACACCGAAAGAGGTCCCATTACGTGTCCCTGAGTGAGACGAAGCGCGGGTCAGAGTGCGCAAGCGCTGCGGAAAAGCTTTTCCACACGAAGGAGCTTGGAGTCGCAGCGCTCAGCAGCAAGGGCGCTCCAAGCCCGCGGGGCCCGCACGTGGTCCAGGGGGCTCAGGCCCCGCCCCGCGCTAGAGGGTCCCGCCCCACGCCGCCGGAGTTCGCGGCCTGGCCCCGGCCAGAAATGCTGGGTCGAACGGCCTGGAGCCGCGACCGCAAGGAGAGCCGGGAGCCGCCGCCCACAGGCACCCTGGCCGCTGGCCCGCGTCCGGACTCACCGTGACGGTCACCTCATCGTCGTGCAGAATGAGGGCCGAGTAGATGCAGGCGAGCTCGGAGACGGAGGCCATGGTGCGGGTGAGTGTGAGGCTAGCGCTGCCGGACGCGGTGCTAGTCGCCGGATGAAGTGAGGGCCTCACCCCAACGCGGCCTTAGCTTCCTCGGAAGAACCGAGCACCTTGGCGGCAGCTGAGGAAAGGAGGTCAAGGATTTCGCGCAGTCCCTTTATATGACCACGCGGACCAATCGGCGCCCGCAGCGGGCGGAAGAGGCGGACCCAGGACAGACTGAAAGCGCCTGCGCGCCGCGCCGAATTCGTTCTTCCTGTTGAGGAAGTTTCTCAGCTTCTGCGAGTACGTTCTATTTTGATTAGAATAAATTATAGGACTTGAGAACGTTGAAAACACTTTTAGGATAGAGTTGCCTAGCATTCGGACTTCGTCCCCATTGGCTCCATGGGCTGCTGAACTTGGCAGGAGCTCCAGTGTGGCCCTGATGACATTGTTCCTAATCTCCTAGTTAGGTCGCGGCCTTCCCAGCCGGCGCTAACCCTGAAGGTAAGGGCTGCGTCACATCTTGGAGGCCCCTGCTTAGTGCAGGGTCTCGGGTAAGATAGGAGGAAGGGAGGAACTAACAGCGTTATGAGATCAGTAGACGTGGAGCGCTTACTATGTCCCAGGCACTGAGCCGCATTCTGCAAGGATTCACGTAATCCTCACACAGCTGGGGTTGGATGTCATCTCCATCTTGCAAACGGCAAAACTAAGTCTTAGAGCTGGTAACTAGCCCAAGATTGTGTACTTACCGCGCGGTGGAGCGTGGAGTTGGAATCCGGAAGCCTAACTTCACTGCCTCCTGCTTGCGGAGTGGGAATTGATATATGAATAAATTGTCTACGACCTGTTATCTGAACCTAGTTTAAATTCGTACCTTCAAAACTGGTCATCTTTGCATTCCTCGTGGAATTTGCTTACTTTACTGAAAAGTTAGTTCAATGTATTTTGTTTTCGGGAACCTTCTTTAGCCCATGCCATTATTTCATAATCATCTCCGAAGAAACTTTTCAATTGGAATCCACCAATCTGGAATCCCACTTGGGTCTATCTTAACTACAAACATAAATATTTTAATATCCCTATTTTTTAAAAAAAAAAGCTTTTATAAAGCTATCAAACTTTTAAAAAATAAAACTATTCCGTTTTCATCCAAATCTAAGAAGCCATTATAGTAGTCGGGCACGGTGGCTTACGCCTCTAATCCCAGCACTTTGGGAGGCCGAGGCGGGCGGATCATCTAAGGTCAAGAGTTCTAGACCAGCCTGACCAACATGGAGAAACCCTGTCTCTACTAAAAATACAAAATTAGCCAGGCATGGTAGCGCATGCCTATAATCCCAGCTATTCAGGAGGCTGAGGCAGGAGAGTCGCTTGAACCTAGGAGGCGGAGGTTGCAGTGAGGTGAGATTGTGCCACTGCACTCCAGCCTGGGTAACAAGAGCAAAACTCCGTTTCAAAAACAACAGCAGCAAAGAAAAAGGAAGCCATTATAGTGGAATTTTGGTCAACAAAAGTTAAAAGCTATTAAAAATCCAAACATTTCCAAAGCTACAATGAATCAGTCCAAAATACTGTTCCTCCAGCAAATGTGCTAAAAACCTAATCTTTTTTTTTTTTAGGGGAGGAAAGAAAAAGGAGTGAAGGAGAGGAAGAAAGGAAGAAAAAGAGGGAGAGAGAACGGAAATGTTGCTTTATTCTAAAAATGGTTATTAATAATGGCCGATCAATATTTCATCTAAACCTATGAGTAGGTGTGATGCGGTATTGACAAGAATGTATATTTTGTATATTTAAAGTGGAGAGCTCTATAAATATTTATTAAGTTTACTTGTTCCGGATCTGAGTTCAAGTCCTGGATATTCTTATTAATTTTCTGTCTCATTGAGTCTAAATCTCTTTATAGGTCTTATGTATCTGGGTGTTTGGATCGTTAGCTCTTATTGTTGCATTGATCCTTTTATCACTATATCTTTGTTGCTTTAAAATCTATTTTATCAGATGCGAGAATTGCAACTCCTGCTTTTTTATTTGTTTATTTATTTTTGCTCTCCATTTGGTTGGTAAGTCTTTCTCCATCCCTTTGTTTTGAGTCTTTGTGTATCCTTGCATGTGAAATGGGTCTGGATGTAGCATACCATTGGGTTTTGGCTGTATCTTTTGATTGGGGGATTTAGTCTATTTAAATTTAGGATTACTGCCATTTGATGTTAACTGGCTATTTTATCCATTCGTTGATATAAATTCTTTATGTTGATGCTCTTCACTTTTTGGTATATTTTTAGAAAGGCTAATACTGGTTGTTTCTTTCTATGTGTAATGCTTCTTTCAGAAGCTCCTGTAAAGCAGGCCTGGTGGTAATAAAATCTCTGAGTACTTGCTTGTTCATAAAAGATTTTATTTTTCCTTCAGTTGTGAAGCTTAGTTTGGCTGGATATGAAATTCTGGGCTGAAAGTTCTGTTCTTTAAGGATGTTGAATATTGGCCCCCACTCTCTTCTGGCTTGTAGTGTTTCTGCTGAGAGATCTGCTGTAAGTTTGCTAGGCTTCCCTTTGTGGGTAACCTGATCTTTCTCTCTGGCTGCCCTTAGTATTTTCTCCTTCGTTTCAACCCTGGAGAATCTAGCGATTATGTGCCGTGGGGTTACTCTTGAGGAATATCTTTGTGGTGTTCTCTGTATTACCTGGGGTTGAATATTGTCCTGCTTTGCTAGGTTGGGAAAGTTTTCCTGAATAATATCCTGAAGAGTATTTTCCAGCTTGGATTCATTCTCTCCGTCGCATTCAGGTACACCTATCAAACGTAAATTAGGTCTTTTCACATAGTCCCACATTTCTTGGAGACTTTGCTCATTCCTTTTTATCCTTTTTTCTCTATTCTTGTCTTCTCGTTTTATTTCATTAAGTTGGTCTTCGACCTCTGATATCCTTTCTTCTGCTTGATCAATTTGAGTGTTTAAACCTGTGCATACTTCTCGGAGTTCTCATATTGTATTCTTCAGTTCCATTAATTCATTTATATTCCTCTCTAAATTGTCTATTCTCATTAGGCTTTCATCAAACCTTTTTTCAAAGTTCTTAGTTTCTTTACATTGGGCTACAACATGTTCTTTTAACTCACAGAAGTTTCTTATTATCCACCTTCTGAAGCCTGATTCTATTAATGGAATGCACTCGTTCTCCATCAAGCCTTGTTCCCTTGTTGATGAGGAACTGTGATCCTCTTTAGAGGGAGAGGCATTCTGATTTTGAGTATTCTCAGCCTTTTTAAGCTGGTTTCTTCCCATCGTTGTAAATGTATCCACCTGTCGTCTTTGTAATTACCAACTTTCAAATTAGGTCTCTGCATGGGCGTCCAAGTTGTTAATTCCCAGGGCGGAAATTTGAGCAACCCACTGCGGCCAAAACAGTGGCATTAAGACTGATGGTGCTTTTCTGCCTGGGAATCTCCAGTCTGGCTCCTTCTTGAGTCCGTAATAGGCGACTCTGCCTTCCCGGAGCTCCAAACGTCGGTCAAAAGGGGAACCAGTCCCGTTTACTCTGCACCAAGAGCTGCTGCGCCGAGGTGCCAGCAAAACCACTGCACTGGCCACAAAAGTCGTTCTGGCGACCCCTGGGGGCTCCTCCACTGGGAATCTTCTGGCCCGTGAGCGACAAAAATTTGTCAGAGTGTGGCGTCCTCTCACTCTCTGTGCTTTCACTGGGAGCTGCTATCCCGAGATGTTAGCGATCAGCCATCTTGGCCTCTAAAAACCTAATCTGATTGGCAGTTGTCACGTTGTGGTCATTGAGGAAATAATCTTTTTCTTTGCTTATACATTATAGATAATACTTTTACAGTAAGCACTAACCACAGCTATTCAAGAGAACTAGTTAAGCAAAATATCAATACGCATTTCTTTTGGTGTTGTCAAAGGATTTAGTGGATTCATTACTTCCGACAAGTTCCACTGCCCCATATTCTATCATAGTAAAAATTTCCTATTAATATTTTGAAAAGACTGCAATAAGCCATTTAAATTTTTTTAAAGTGGGCTGGGGCAGGGCATGATGGTTCATGCCTGTAATCCAAGCACTTTTGGGAGGCTAAGGCAAGAGGATCGCTTGAGCCTGGGAGTTCAAGACCAGTCTGGGCAGCACAGTGAGATCCAGTCTCGATTATCTTGTTTTGTTTTTTTGAGATAGTCTCACTCGGTTGCCTGGGCTGGAGCACAGTGGCACCATCACAGCTCACTGCAACCTGTCTCCCAGGCTCAGGCAATCCTCCCACCTCAGCCTCCCCAGTAGGTGGGACTGTAGGTGCACGCCATCACACCTGGCTAGTTTTTAAATATTTTGTAGGGATGGCATTTTGCCATGTTACCCAGGCTGGTCTCAAACTCCTGAGCTCAAGCCATCCTGTTTCAGCCTCTGAAAATGCTGGAATTACAGGTATTAGCCACTGTGCCCAGGCTATTATTTTAAATAATCACTTAAAAAGCAGGCTGGGTTCAGCGGCCCATGCGTGTAATCCTAGCACTCTGAAGCCAAGTCAGGAGGATTGCTTGAGCCCAAAAGTTTGAGACCAGACAAGGCCACAGAGCAAGGCCCCATCTCTACAAAAAATAAAATTGGCCAGATATGCAGGCATTTGTCTGTAGTTGCAGCTACTCATGAGGCTGAGGTGACAGGATTGCTTGAGCCTGAGAGTGAACTGTGATCATACCATTGCGTTCCAGTTGGGGTGACAGAATGAGACCCCATCTCAAAGAAAAAAAAAAAGCTAGTCTGGGCAACATAGCAAGACTGTCTCTACCAAAAAAAAAAAATGTTTTTTTTAAATTAGCTGGGCATGGTGGTAAACACCTGTAGTCCCGACTACTTGGAGGCTGAGGCAGGAGGATCACTTGAGTCCAGGAGTTTAGGGTCACAGTGAGCCATGCCCACACCACTGCATTCCAGCCTGGGCAACAGAGCAAGACCCTGTTTCTAAAAAAAAGTTTAAAAAAGGAAATCAAGAAATGGAAAGAATGAATTCTGTATCTTCTGCAGTAGGAATTTAACCTTTAGAGTGTGCTAAAGCATTCTAAAAGCACACATATAGCCTGGGCATGGTGGCTCATGCCTATAATCCCAGCACTTTGGGAGGCTGAGGCGAGAGGATCACCTGAGGTCATGAGTTTGAGACCAGCCTGACCAACATGGAGAAACCTCTACTAAAAATATGTAATTAGCCAGGCATGGTGGCACATGCCTATAATCCCAGCTACTTTGGAGGCTGAAGCAGGAGAATCACTTGAACCAGAAAGGCAGTGGTTGCCATGCGCAGAGATTGCGCCATTGCACTCCATCTCAAAAAAACGAGAAACAAAACAAAAAGACACTTATTGACATTGTTTACTACTATACTGTGAGTGACCAGTGCATTTTGTCTTTTCCCTTAACTTTGGAATCGGCTTTTGGCAAGGACTGATACCACACTTTTATTACTAATAAAAAAGATTAAACTATCATTGTAGTTTAAAAAAAAAAAAAAGCTCAGCCTCTAAAGAAATCCAAATTAAATCCGAGTAAAATGTGTGTTCACCCATGTAATGGGATATTTCACCATGATTGCAACAGTATTTTTTCTAATTTATGTTGTCCCCAAAACATGTTTTTTGTTTAAATGTCTAGAAATCATACTTAATATGTAGATAATTATGGCTGTCACACACAAAAAGGCATTGTCCATTTAACATCATATTTTGTATTTTCTAGAGATTTCTTTTAATTAATCCCACAAACAATGAGTGCTAGGTAAATGCAGGGCACTGTGCCAGGTGCTGGGAAGATGTGTTGAATGAATGGCCATCACACACCTATGTATTTCTTAGTGCTTTTAATTTTAATTCTTTTGGAATATCTAGATGTCAAAAAGTGAATATATACATACAGAATTCAAAACAACTTCCTAAATGGTTATTGGCCAGTCATAGACATCTTTTTTTGAAAGTCTGAATTGTCAAATAGTTCTAAAGTGCATTCCTGCAACTAATAAATAGCAGCATTTGTTTATAAAACCTTAAGAAATTCAGACCAGGACTGGAAAAGTCACAATAAAAAATAAGGCGTGATCTAGATATATTCTTCCTTAATCATCTAAGACAAACGCTTGTGTGAATTAGTTTATAAGTATACATGAAATATAAAAAGCATTATAAAAAAATTCATACAGCAATGAGAAAAGGAGTCTTCCTCTGCTATTAATATTAAATATGGCAAAAAATATACTATACAAGGTTTATTGAATACTAGTTGTCTTTGGAACCACGGGAAAAGCTTTGATCTAGGTCAGTGTATGATACAGCGGAGGTCTGTGATGTTCAACAAAGCTGAAGTTCTACAAGATGACTTGGAAGACTGCTTCTGACGAGGCTTTGAAGAAATCATCCACACAAATGAAAATGTTCTTTCACTACTGGGACTGTCAGTTCATGGCTTCTTGCGCCTAAAACATAACAACCAGCACTTTTTGCAATTTGTTAACACATTCATAGCAAATCAGTCTTTAGGAGGGCTTTGAGAACTGCTGTTTTATCATGAGAAAATTCAAGTCCCTCTGAGAAGGCAAACAACTTTTATAAAATATGCTTGTCTTAGTATTAAATTTAGGAAACAGGATTTCCCATCATTATCCTGTTGCAGTAATTTTCCAAATTGCTCACTAAGGAATGTAAATGTTTAAAATGGTGTGTGTGTGTGTATAAAGAAGGGGCTTTATTAAACTATGGAAAAAGACTGGGTCAGACTCCTGAGTATGAGTTCAATAGAAGAGGAAAAGGTTCGATTCCTTCCCTACCATAGATTCTTCTATTCGGGGTTATTTATTTTAGTGAACACCTACTGCTATACCAAGACAAAGAAGCAAGTCAATAAAGAATGATTTACACAAAGCTGTCTAGTCCGCAACTAAAGCCTTTAGCCTTCCCTCCTCAGAGGTGCTCGCAGTTCAGCCTCAGAAAGCTTTATGAGCATTAGCAGAATATTAACAAAAGCCATCAATTTGCCCCCACTGTCTGCCTTGTGGCTCTGATTGCTCTCATCCAGCCTTCTGAGGCTCTCAGCATTGCAGCTGCCTATGGCAGTCTGTCCACAGGGGTCCAGATAGTCCAAGGGGAAAACAAGAACCATGTGTTTTTTCTGAAGAACAAGTGGATAATTGGTAGAAAAAGAGATAAAGTAAAGACTGGAGAAGGAAAAAAGCACACAGCAAGACCCCAGTTACAGTCAGTGCTCACTTGGGTTGTGCATGATGCTGATATCCAGGTCCCAGCTGGGATCCTGCTCTCATCTCCACAGCCACGGAACACTGAGAGGAAAATGACAAGACAAAAAAGATCAGCTCCTCTCAATAGTCTATAAAATACAGTTGTTTAGCAGGCTCTACCGAGGGGAAATGCAATATTGTATTCTAGTTCAGCAGACACTTATATTAAAACACCAGTCACTCATAGTTTCTTTCTGGCACATACCACAAATGTGATGAGCCAGAAGGGTCTTTAGAGGTCATCTAAACTTACCTCATTTTAGATAAGTTCGTGAACAGAGTTGGTGGCTAAGGCCATACCTTAGGCCTTCTGACCCCTAACCTTTCCATGTTCTTTCCAAGAGCTTCACAGGAATAACAGTTGCAAGGGGATTCCTGGTGAAGTGGATTCTTGTTATTCTAAAATAGGCCCACATGGTAGACTGGCAATGTGAGATTATACCTCAGCATTTTCAAAGAGTGTAAAAATCTAGAGCTGTGAGGTTTCAAACATGACAAGCCTAATTTTGTTAAGCAGACAAATATTTAATTTTTCCCCTACCCTTGTTTCTACATCGGTCCATTCAGACTCTGCACCATCTGGTTGGGCAGGTGCTACTGTGGAAGATCTTCGTTTCCGACTACTGAAAAAGGGGAAACATGATGCAACAATTATTTTTGCATCTAAGAAGAGGGAAAATATTAGAAGTAGGGAAATACTATCTACATCCCTTTGGAGAATTAATGATAAATTTCACAGGCGATTCTGTTCCTCAAAAATGAGCAGCTAAGAAAATGACCAACTTTTATAGAGATTTTTCATGGTTACTTACCCATTTGGTGATTCTTGCTTTAAAGTCTCAATATCAGTAAATTGAACAGATTGGCCACCACCCCTTGTTTTATAAACATCACCCTAAAGCCAAAAGAAAAGGTCACTGTTACACATTGATACATCCAAATGAAAAACACATACATATTTCAAATGTTCTCACGATTCTGTTTTCTAGAATTCCCATCCACAAAATCAGATGGTACTTGGTACTTGCTGAGTCTGTTCTACGAGAACAGTTTAGAAATTTGAGGACACATATCTCACAAACAAAAGAAGTCCAACACAATGTAATCAGTAACATTTGTAATTGCAGAAAAAAATATTCCTTTTGCTCTACCTGCAATTTAAAAACTAAACTTGCACTAAGGAACAAGAAGTTTGCTGGAAATTTCTACATGCTCTAAGGCATTGTATTTTCTTCTCCGAGTGCCCCCTGCTGCCCATATTCAAATGACAGTACAGTCTTATTTGTAGCTAGTTATAATAAGAACAAAAACTCTAAATTAAACTTGAAATTAAAAGCTTTTTTGGGGGGGTCTTATCTTTTACTTCCCTGATTATTCACTGACTTTATGATCAAGGAGAATTCTTCTATAGGCAGGAAAGTAGCTTCTTTTTGGGAAATGGCTTTAGGTAGATCAATACTGAATAATTTTGATAGGTCAAATTTTAACATAGTTTTTTTTCTTTTTTTAAATCTTGAACTGACAGAGAGCAATGGGAGTTCTTTGCTTAGCTTTACTTTTAAAGTAGTGGTTAAAACTAAATACACTGTCATTAAAAAATTGAAGTACATCATGGATCTAGAATTCTAAGAACCTGAAGAATCCACCCCTATTGAAAGCATACTTAATCCCAGGTTTGATGGACTTACAACCTAAGCAGTGACTAACTTTCTGCTAACAAAAAGGTTCTATCAAATACCCACTGATGTTCCAGTTGACCCTGCCTGTGTGTCACCAGAGGAGTAGGAGGACTAATGGACTTCTGTTGAGTTTTTTAATATGTTTTTTCTGTGTAAATTCGTTTTTTTACCTTAATTAGTTTAGTTTCAATCTCCCCATCGGAGGCTAGTTCCTGGTGGGTCAGCATGTACTTCTCACACTTAGCTAGTGCTTTTTCATTTGCAACAGATACTGTGATGGCATGAGGGACATGTGGCTGCATGACTGTTTCAGTTTGCACGTTAGAGGCAGGCTTATGATCTACCCATCTGTCTCCTGCAGAGCGTGATCGTCTGTGTCGGAGACGAATTGGTGGTGCATTCTGATCAGGTTGAAAGAGGAATTGAGAAACAAGCATAACTCAGAATTAATTTAAGGGTATTATTAGAAGTGCAGCAGGTTTGGCTACATTCATTGATGACAGTATCAAAACAAACCTTTCAAAAGCTAAATATGTTATTCAGGTAATTTAAACATCTTTGCATTTAAACACAAAACTAACAAATGTCTTTAACACGAACTTGTATGTTATATATTCTACCTGGGAGTTTACCTTTCATCAAAGGATAAAAGAAAAAATTCTAGTAATGCTGCAAGTCTTTTCCTGCTTGGGGTGGTTCAGGACAAATAATTCATTTCATATTCCTGATCAAGAACCAATATTTATCCCTGCTACTGAGAGATAAGCTATTATGTCCACAACTCTGTTAAAATCTTCAATAAGATCAGTGAAAGCCCTACACCTTTTCTAGGCTTCTAAACAAAACACAAAACAATCCAAAGAACCTAAGTTATAGTACGAACTGTATGAATAAAATGATTAAAAGAAATGTAAAATACTTCTGAGTGTTTTCAGTTAAGATCTTAAAATCTCATAATAGAACTTCATGAAAAGTTCAAATACAATAATGGCTATAATATACCAACAAATTTTCCCCCCAAACATTTCATACAGGTTCAAGAAACAAACAAATACAGTGTTCAAATCAGTCTCTATCAAACAATAAAAAACTAGTTGCTAGGCCAAGCATGGTGGCACATGTCTGTAATCTCAGCACTTTGGAAGGCTGAGGTAGAGGGATCCCCTGAACTCAGAAGTTCAAGGCCAGCCTAGAAAACATGGTGAAACCCAGTCTCTATAAAAAAAAATTATTAGCTGGGCTTGGTAACACGTGTCTATAGTCCTATCTACTCAGGAGGCTGAGGTGAGAGGATCTCTTGAGCCCGTGAGGTGGAGATTGCGGTGAGCCAAGATCACACCACTGCACTCCAGCCTGGACAACAGACCCTGCCTCAAAAACAAACAAGTTGCTTCTAGTCAAATCTCATGTAAATCTGGGAAAGTTAAATTAAGCACGTTCAGCCTAAGAAAATAATATTTCATATATATGCCATAGTTACAGTTTAAAGCAAATGAATTATCTTTGGTATTTTATGAACATCTCCAGTTTGTAAAACTAATAGCTGGGCTGGTTGCAGTGGCTCACCCCTATAATTCCAACATTTGTGAGGCTGAGGTGGAAGGAGGATCACTTGATGCCAAGAGTTCAAGACCAGCTTAGGCAACGCAGCAAGGCTCTATCTCTACAAAAAATTTGAAAATTAGCCAGGTGTGATAGCACACACCTGTGGTCCAGCTACTCAGGAGGCTGAGGTAGAAGGATCTCTTGAGCCTGTAAGGTTAAGGCTGCATTGAGCCTAGATGATGCCACTGCACTCCAGCCTGGGCAACAGATCAAGACCCCACCTCAAAAAAAAAAAATCCAAAAAACAAAACTGAAAGCAAATGGAAAATTCAACACTGGTCAAGCGTGAAGACTTCAATTTCAAAATGCCCATCTGAGTAACTGAATCATTTTACCTATATAGTTACAAGAAACAAATTCAGCACTGGTGACAGCTCTAAGACATGGGCCATACAGTTTACCACTAAAGATGCTGAGCCTCAAGACAAACACAAAACATTCCATTCCTAATTTATTTAATGTTGAACACAAAAGTAAGTCTGCTCATTATCATCAAAAGCAAGGGTTTTCTTCAAACATTTCACAATAAACATACAATGAAACAAGCTTCAGAAAGATGATAATCCATACAATCTACCAGCATTTATGAAATACATTTTTTTCCTCATTGAAGTATAAATTCAGTCCACCTGACATAATTTTTGACCAACAAACTTAGACACACAGATACTAACCTTATAGTAACTTTTCTGCTGCACTTCTAAAGAGATTTTGATTTCATGTAAGAAGAATCTCTAGTAAATCCCCTTAAATATCTCATAGCCAAATTAGATACCACATTACTGTTGGCAAGGCATAAGCAGGCCTTGAATAGTTTCCAGCCTATAAACTTTCATAAAATGGCTGACTAAAGTTGATCAGAATGACCATTTACCATAATTTGCTGTCTTTTATAAAAATGTTTAAGAAAAAGTCTGCAAAGTAAAGAACTTAAGAGACTTTAGAATCATCTGTTTCCTTGGTAAATAACTTGGGATTCATCACCATTACTTAATAATCAGGAACTCAGGCCACCTAAATGAACATTTATCTATACCCTGACTTATACATGAAAATCTAAAGTAAAAGTTTCCTGTAAGATTTATTTAAAAGAAAAATTCTAAAAGAGCTTTGTTAAGATTTTACTAAATATAAAATTCACAAACACTAACTTGGTCCATTATTCAGACTCAAATGAAACTTTACCTT